CTTTGAGGGGATTCCAGAGGTTTTATCCAGCAGGGAAATTGCAGGAAGAGGTGAGGAATCCCAGTGAGAGCAGCAGCCTGCGGCTGCAAACATCCGACTGAAAGCTCCTTCCAGAACCTTCCAGCTTCCAGTCAAGGATGTTTACAGAGGCATTGACTGCCCGAAAATATTCAAAAAAGGGATTTTCAACCCAAAATGTACCAAAAAATTAAATTTTTTTCCAAGTTAATTCTTCCCCTGCTGGCTCCATTCTGGATCAGAAGTGTGCAGGGTTTGGTTCGTTGTGGTTTCCATGAAATTTTTATTTTCACAAAAATCCCAGTGGGTTTTAGTTTGATTTCTCAATTTTTATATTTTATTAAGAATTTTATGTTATTTAAGAATTTAAGAACCTGACATTTAAAAATTTAAGGATTTGAAAGAATTTAAACATTTGAAATTAAAGAACTTAAGAACCTTCTTTAAACTAACAAATCTAAAAACACGACATGAAAGAATTTAAGAACTTGAAATTTAAAGAATTTAAAAACTTGAAATTTAAGAACATGAAATTTAAGAATTTAAAAACTTGAAAGCATTTAAAAACTTGAAATCAAAGAATTTAAGAACCTGAAATGAAAGTACTGAAACCATGATATTAAAGAATTTAAACCCTTGAAATTAAAGAATTTAAAAGCATGAAATTAAAGAATTTAAAAGCATGAAATTAAAGAATTTAAAGACATTAAATTAAAGAATTTAAGAACATAAATAATTTAAAACCATGAAATTTAAGCATTTAAGAACCTGACATTTAAAAATTTAAGAACTTGAAAGAATTTAAACATTTGAAATGAAAGAATTTAAGAACCTTCTTTAAACTAACGAATTTAAGAACACGACATTAAAGAATTTAAGAACTTGAAATCAAAGAATTTAAAAACTTGAAATTTAAGAACATGAAATTTAAAAATTTAAAAGCTTGAAAGCATTTAAAAACTTGAAATTAAAGAATTTAAGAACCTGAAATTATTGAAAACCATGATATTAAAGAATTTAAACCCTTAAAATTAAAGAATTTAAAAAGCATGAAATGAAAGAATTTAAAGACATTAAATTAAAGAATTTAAGAACATGAACTTAAATAATTTTAAAACCATGAAATTTAGGAATTCAAGAACAAATAATAATTTGTTCTTAATTTAAAACCATGAAATTTAAGCATATAAGAACCTGAAATTTAAAAATTTAAAAACTTGAAATTAAAGAATTTAAGAACCTGAAATTATTGAAAACCATGATATTAAAGAATTTAAACCCTTGAAATTAAAGGATTTAAGAATCTGAAATTAAAGAATTTAAGAACATGAACTTAAATAATTTTAAACCATGAAATTTAAGCATTTAAGAACCTGAAATTTAAAAATTTAAAAACTTGAAATTAAAGAATTTAAGAACCTGAAATAAAAGTACTGAAACCGTGATATTAAAGAATTTAAACTCTTGAAATTAAAGAATTTAAACCCTTGAAATGAAAGAATTTAAAATCATGAAATTAAAGAATTTAAACCCTTAAAATTAAAGAATTTAAAAGCATGAAATTAAAGAATTGAAAGACATTAAATTAAAGTATTTAAGAACCTGAAATTAAAGTACTGAAACCATGATATTAAAGAATTTAAACCCTTAAAATTAAAGAATTTAAAAGCATGAAATTAAAGAATTTAAAGACATTAAATTAAGGAATTTAAGAATCTGAAATTAAAGTACTGAAACCATGAAATTAAAGAATTTAAAGATATTAAATTAAATAATTTAAGAACCTGAAATGAAAGTATTGAAACCATGAAATTAAAGAATTTAAAAGCATGAAACTAAAGAATTTAAAGCCATTAAATTAAAGAATTTAAGAACCTGAAAAAACCAGAGGAAATAAAAAAGAGCAGAACAAACCTCATGTTGAAATCTGTGTTATTTGGTTTTTTATCAGGCTGAGAAAAATAAAAAAATTCAGAATTTTTGTTTCTCACCTGCCTTTTTGGAGGTTTCAGCTCATCCCTGGGCACGATATCGATCAGAAAATCAAATTGATCGAATTTGGTGATGGCCATGGCAATGTCGTTCCTCTGCAACAACAAAAATAAAAATTCTCTTTTTTCTCCAGCAGGAATTCAAAATTTGGCACTGCAGAAATGGAATTTCAGGTGTTTAAAGCCGAGGGGAAATTTTTCCTGGTGGAAATTCAGTTTAGTGCTGAGCAAAGAAATGAAAATGAGCAATAAAAAATGGATTTTTAGCAAGTTTTAGCTGAGTTTAATGGATTCCTGCCTCGAAATCAGCAATTCCTGCCCTGAAAAATCTCAATTTTTCCCTGACCTGAGGGCTTGAATTAATGATTGTTACATTTTCCAGAAATTCTGCTTAATATGGAAGATTAAAAATGTAAAA